GATTGTTATTTGATGCTAAATTTAATTTATCAGATTTAAAACAATAAGGATCTCTTTATATAAAAAGTACCATTTCACTTACATTTTAATAATTCTATTAAATTATTGTTTTTAATGAAATTTTTAGATTCCATTCATAATTGATTAATATATATTATTTTTATTATAAATCTAGAACTTTCATTAGATTTTTTATAATAAACATAAGTTAATTTTTAAAAATTTCATAATATATCAATTTGAAAATATTTATTGGAAATTTTTTTTGTATTATTCATAATAATCCTTTATATATTAAATAAAATTTCTAAATACAATTTATTTTGCGTGTTATGATTTATTATATTTCTATAGAAGAGTATATTATTTAAAAAAAATTGTTGTTAAATAATAGTCTCTATACATGAAATTATTTAATTAGATCAATTGAAATTAAATTTAAATATAAATCGAATAATTAATTCTTACATTTTTTATAAATAATTTGTAATTAATTGTATAATAATTTGTAATGTCATATCACACTGTATATTTTTATATTAAACTTTTTATACGATATAAATCATTTTATATTTATGTAAATCAACACAAATTACAATATATAAGGATACAATATTGTTGACTATCGCTGTGAAATTTACAGCAGCCAGCAATAAGCTGATCCGATCTGAGAAAGACAAATTTTGATGTTATCTGCTTTTATTTTAAGTAGTATTGCAGTTCTGCTTATTGTGTAGGAAAAGAGTGTAGGATAAAATAATGATACCCTACTTTGTTTTTACAGACATCAATATAGTAAAATTAAGCCTGAAAGAAGAGATAGACATAATGAAAGAAAAATATTGCGGATAGAAAGAGAAAGAGAGAGTCACTATTATCCTAGATAGTATATTTTTTTATACTGATATTTTATTTTTTTTATATTTATATTTATATTTATATATATACATTTATATATTTTTATATTCATATTTATGTTATATAAAAATATATAAAATATTTTATATTTTATATTTATATATACAGGTCGGTAATTTTTTAATGTATTTTGTCTTCTCTCTCTCCTTTTCTCATTTCCATTCACGAATGGAAAAAACTCTTAGATATTTGTTTGAATTTCCATATACCAATATCAATAAAAAAAGTAGTGTGGATTGGCAATAAATTTTACATAACGTTTTTTTATGCGAATAGTATGATAAAATAAAAAAACCCTTTGAAATTTAGCGTGATTAAAAAATACTTATTACTAAATTTAATTTTCTATTAAAAGTGTATTATTTGTATTCATAAGCAGTCATCACAAATACTGTAATTTAGATAGTATTCTAATAAATAAAACTGAACATCGTAATTATTAATACTTAACTCAATATTGAAAAATAAAAAAATATCTTTTGTACCACATTTTCAACTTTATAACGTATTCCAATTGTTATTTGATATGTTAAAGGATAATTCAATTCCTACAATGTATTAATAGTATTACCATATTTGTATAAAAATGTATAAAAATATAACCATATTTTTAATTCTTTACTTGTTAAAAATGTGTAAAATATCATAAGCAATAATATATTAATAAAAAATAGTCAAATTTAAATCGAAATATGTTAATTAAAATATCAATTATATAAAAACACTAAATTCTATTATAATTAGAAGTATATTACAAATATATCGTCATTATAAAATAGAACTTATATATTTATTACATTGTTTATTTGTTTATAATAAAGAATAATTATAACATACACAAACATACACAACACATATATTATTAGAATTTTTATAAAATAAATATAGAATTAGACTCAATTTGATCCATATGCCTTTTATTAATACTTTTATATTAATTTTTCTATATATAATATTTAATGGTCTCTCTCTCTTTCTTTTTCTTTCTTTCTCTTTCTCTCTCTCTCTCTCTCTCTCTCTCTCTTAACAGTGTTAATAAAGCAAAAGGTATTTTAAATTTAATTAGAACGTTTTAAGAAATCGTTTGAAAATCTTGAATTCTGGAATCTGAATCAATGGAAATCTGGTCATGTTTTTAATTTTTTTTTAATAAAAGTTAAAAATAATTAAATGTGTAAAGCTAAATCATAAATAGAATTTCATAATAACATAATTACTTTATTCATAATTTATAACCAATCATTATAGTAAACTTTATATTTCAAATTAATGTTAATACAAAAATATTAAATTATTAGACTAAAGATTGGTAAAACATAAGACGTAGAAAACCAAAAATAACTCTTTTCAATATTTTATTCATATTAAATTTTAACTATGGAAACTAGTTCTCACGTACTAAATAGTATAAACACACAATACTTAACAATATATATATTTATTAAAGAATATTAGTTCGTATTTCTAAAATTATTTTATGAATGTACAACTATGAAAATTATCTTGATTTTAAAGTGTTAAATTTTTAATTATACAAGATTTAAAAATTAATTTTCATTTTTATACTCTCTCCACATTTTCTGAAATATTTAATAATCTTATTCATTAATAAAACTTTTTTTTAAGGTTATTTAGTTATTGTATAAAATGCGAATTTTAATAACTTTTCTATATTTTAGTTTTACATGTTGATTTTAATGTAATATATGCTTTATTAGAACGTGTATCTTCAGTTCGAAGAAAGAGAGAGAGAGAAATCAAATAAAACTTCTTGTATTTTAATATTGGAATATATGTCATCGTTTTACTCACGATTATTTAATCAATTTAAAAAATTTTTTTTAAAAATACAACAAAATAAATAAACTTTTTTATACTGTTTATTACTGGTTTAAATGTTCTTATAAATTTAAAAGTCACATATGGTACATTATTATCCATGTAAATGTTAGTTTTATTTTTAATATGATTTGGAAATATATTTATACTGATTAAATTTTTTTTAACATTCTGTTATTTTCCAGTTTTATTGTCAAAAATATATTTTAGAAATATTCTATTATATTATTTATAACTATATTTAAATAAAAGAACTTTAAAATAACTTAAACATATCTTTAATTTGATTGCTCTAATTCAATTATTTACAGAAAGCTAGTCATATTACTTAAAATTTAATTTAAATAATTTAGAAATAATTATATTGTTAAGGATTAGCGATTCTTACAGTAGCCAATAATTATAATTTAATTAATATATATTTTCAATTTGTATTAAATATATTGAAAAAAATAAAATTTCTATAACCTCATGAATGTATAAAATGAATATATAAAATATATAAAACCTTTAATTTAATATTTCTATGAATATTATATGAATATGAACTTTCATTAGTGCTATTACTTTAGTTAAAGAATAAATATTTTAATAGTCGTTGTATAACAGAATTGAAATATTGTTTTAAATCTAATAGTTAATAAAATGGCATATCCTTTACTTCATTTATATAAGTACATTTTTAATGGAAAACTTAAGATTTAAACGATAAAGCAAATACAACTTTAATTACAATAGAATTGAAATTGTTCTTGTATTAAAAACTCAACAACTATTTATATTGCTCATTGTCAAATAAGATGAAATAACATTATTTATTTCGTATATTTAGAATTAATCAAATGTCATTAAATTTGATTTTAGTAACTGGTAGAGATAAGATTAAAGCAGTTTTCACCCTCCTCGGCTAAGAATTTAATTTGCATAGAAATATAGATAGAAAAATCATAGTTTTCTTTCAACTTTTAAAGTCATAGAGGGTTCTTTAAGTTTTTCACAATCGTAGTCAAGACCTTAATGGCGAAGTAGATTAAAGTTTAATGGAATGCGTAACAATATTTAAAAAAAAACTGCTTCTGTGCTCAATCTTCTATATTAATTTGCAAGTCCTATAATAAATGAAGATGACTGAAACGAAGTATTTTTAAATTAAGTTGACAATAGCGTGTAACATATTATTGACAACTTATATTTATTCTATTCATTTATGAAATAATATAATTATAAATCTTTGCAAAGGCTTCTAGTATTTTTCCTGCTTCTTAAAATTGATATTATAACTTAGGTAAAAAAAGAATGTGAATTAAATAAAGTTTAATTCATAATTTAAATGTTTAATTATTACTATTAAGAAGATTAACTAGATGGATTTCGATTTTTAGATATTCTATTTATATTTGAAAATGTTTTCAAAAGATATATGCAATAAATAAAAAAAAGGATTATTACAAAATATTATAACAAAACTAAATATTCCGTTATAGTATATAATGATAACAAATTAATGGCAATAAAATATTAACTTATTTTTAATGCGTATAAAAAATGTATAAAATCTAATTAATTGTTTTGTCTTATAATAAAAAACATTTGTGAAAGTATATTAATAATGACAATATTTAATTTGTTAAATTAGTTACATGTTATGTCAAATGATAGGAGTATAATATATCCGATAGAAATAATACATAAACATTATTTTAAAATGAATTATTAAACATTATATATTACTATTAATTAATACCTTTAAATGAAAACTATTAGTAGGCCTTTGAATTGTTAATGTGTAAACAATCATATTGATTTAACACTAACATTTATACCCACAGTTGCCTTTTCACTTACTTTTCAGAAAATAATAAGCATAACAAATACAAATATTTATTAATTATAATAAGATTAATTTATTTTCAAAACAATGTTTAGAAATATTGCGCCTAGTTAAATATTTTTAATACAGTTAACCAAGGATATTAGTTTGAAATAATCGTCGATCTATATTTTATCATAAAAATCGCATAAATAGTATATAAATAATAAAGTTAGAATTATCTTAAAATTAAAACAATTTAGTTTATGGCAAAAATTAAACAAGAGAAATAAAATTGATAAAGTAAAAGAGGGTGAGAGATTTTTCACAAAAGTAATGTATATCGTTACATAAGATAATAAACTGCATTCTAGGAGCAATGCAAGGGGTAACATGTCATTTACGTAAAATTATTTAGATCTTATTGACTTACTCAGAAGTCGTTTTTTGTAGATAATATTAGGCTTTTATGCTTTAATAAAAAAATTTTTAGTCACTTGTATAAATTTCTATGTTCTGGACACTATATTCTGCTGTCACGGTATTTGGCACTTACTTTGTCACAAAATAACAAAACATAAATAAGCGACGACAGATTAAAAATAAAATTTAAAGTAGCCGTGAGATAATTTAAGAGTATAATATAACACTATAATAAATAGAGAACTGAAAAGTAATTTAGTGGTGAATGAATAAGTAAAAGCATCTCGTTTACACCAGAAATTGCAACACGTGTCATTTATTCACTCAAGTAGCTAATTCAACTCCGCGATGCATGCGCTGAGAATGTTTCGAATCCTACCAGGCAGGTTGCTGCCTGTCTTGCAACGTGCACACCTCGCTGGAGCGTGCAACAGGAGGCGTGCTGTCCCGGACTGGACTAGCTTGGGCCCCTCACTTCATGCCACCGCTTCCAGTTGCGAGGGCCGGCAGTTCCCTCTCACTCTCAAGTCATTTCCCCCACTTTTCATACATCACCCCTCTATCTACGGCCCAACTACCCAATGTGCTTACCATTTACTTGCTAGCAAACTTACCCGCACTACCGCCTCCACATTTAGCGCATCAATATTGAAGTACGACTGTTCTTCCATATAGAGTTCAATTTTCTTTCCATTTATTACATTCCTGTATTTTATTCACAAGTTTTAATTTATATTATGTTGTAGCATTTTATACATGAATATTGCACCTTTTGAGCATGTTTATAATAGCAATTACGTTCTCCTGTTAAATGCTATAAATTAATTTATATAGTTTATATATTAATTTATTTCATGGTCTTATACATTTTAGTAGAATTTGAATATTATATTTTTAAATTCGACTTTAATTTTATATAATTATATATATATATATATAACTTTGAAATTTAAACATATAACATTGGTTATAACCTATAAGAAAACTCAAAAATAACCACTTCATTTATAAACACTTATACTTTAATTGAGATGTATAATTTTGTATACATTTTTAATTCATAACAAGCTAATCTTTATTATTAGATTAAATAATAAATTCGTAAAATTAACATTTTACAATTTACTTGACTAAAACATAATTCAATTTATTATCTGTTTGGATAGCCATTTGTAGTTTATGTATATTTTTAAATCGAAATACTATATTTAAGTTAGAAACTTAAAATTATTATACTCATAATTAATATACAATAAGTAATTATATAAATGATTAAAACATTTATTAATAATACTTCTAAAAGAATTTATTGAAAATAATAAATAATAAATTTTATTTATAAAAAAAATAATAATTCTGCAAAAACTGGGCAAAAATTTCAATGGATATGAATTTTTAAATAGATAAGTTTTTTAAGCATAATAGATGAAAATCTATTCATATATTTGAGTAATTTTTTAATAAAAACTTTCTTGCGAAGAAAGTATGTCATTTAAAGTATTTAAGGAGAAATTATGATTTATGATCAATTTATGATTAATTAAATTCTTATTTTTGAAAGATGTCAATTTTTATACCTTATTCATAAAACGATACCTTCCATTAAAACGTTTTATTTTGGTAGTATTTATTTTTATTTTATTTGTATTTATTTTATCTTACTATTCAATTTAATTAATGAAATTAAGTTTAGATCAATTCCAAATACATTCAAATGTGTGAAATATTATTGAATTAGATTATTATTATCAATTTAAATAATACTTTAGTTTGCTGAAAATATTGAATTTATTCCATAATAAAGTATATATAAACTGACTAATATTATCGAATGTTTCACTAGAACATTCATGTTATTCAGAAGAAAGTTCATTTATTAAAGCTGTTTCTTAAATCGTTAACATAATATGTCTCAATTCATTAAGATCTATTTTTATTTAACTTCTTGATCATATTAAAGGTTTTATATATCGATCATTATGATCCAACATTGCCTTAAATATATATATATATTTTAACTTATAATTTAAAGTAGTTTTGACTAATGTAATATTATTTATTATATGTCAATTTTTATATTTGCAATTTCAGCTATTTTTAATATAAATAATTTTGGAAACAATAAATTGTGTCTCTTTATAGCTTTCTGTATTCTTCAGTTATAAACATACAAATTTCGCAAATTTGAAATTACATGCAACTAGTTAAGGAAAAAAATCACTCTTTTGCTATTAATGGTAACATCGTATTTATTTATTTATTTAATAATGTATTTATTTATTAGTGGTTATAAATGGCTACGAAGTTTACATTATTATTATAAATAAAAGTAAAGATTTATCATTTATATTTAACGATACTGCTTTTTACGTTTCACAAATATATTTTAAACGTTATATTTAATTATCAATTCAGTATATTTGCACACATATATCGTTGTATATAAACTCATTATAAGTATTTTATAAATTTACATTGCATGTATTAGATACCTTTTACTAGAAATTTTAATTGTATTATATTATTTTATAGAAATAAGCAGTGAGTTAAATTAATATCATAAGGATCATTGTTTTTTCTTTACAGTCATATGCTATGTATTGCTAGTCTATTGTTAGTTATTGAATATGAATTCAAAGCAATTGAATAGGGTTTGAAATTTATAGGGTTTGATAGTTTGTTTATACATATATAAATATATATATAAAGACAGTTATGTATGCATATATGCATATTTATATATAAATATACTGTTATGTATGCAGGCATGGAATTTGTGTACATGGAACATTTACACAAGGATCTTTAAAATTTGGAATTACAAATTACAAATTACAAATATTTTAGATAATTATTTCCTATTTTAAAAATTTGTATTTATTTTTATTTTAAATTGATACACTTTAGTAGTTCGTTTTTATATATCATATAAACGTTATCCTTTAAGCACCGAAAAATAAATGCTACATCCTATACTACTAAATGTTTCAACGTCTGCTTATTGAAATCCTTGAATTTTACAGTCTATTTTTTTGTTTTAAAATAATATTAATATTTAATATTTTTATAATGTTATGAAGTTTATTTCTATCCTAATTATGTATTCGGATTAAATTCTTACATGTACTGATATTACGAGTTTTAACAATTCATGTTTTACTCTAAATTTTCCAAATTCTACCTTTTTATTGATAAAGTTTTAACATGTACTTATATACTAACTATAATATAAAATATAAAATTAAGAATTTTATATACATTTTAAAAAAAATTTGATATAAAATTCTTATTGATTATTTTATTAATTTATCATTTATACATGTCATATTTCGCTTCATTTATTGATTAAAAAGAAGGCAAATAAATATAATTTTATTAATTATAACTAATAAAAAAAATAATATTTAGTTTATTAAATTTTAACATTACCTAACTTTTGAATATTAAATAAAACAAATAAAAATTAACAATATATAATATATAGAATCTTCCTCTAAAGCAATTAACTAATAATTAATAAAGAAACTAAATATATTCACACTTTCATTGTCAAGATACTTAAAAGAAATATTTCCATCATAAGCTGTAGAAATATTCACATCGATTTACAGACTTATATGGTGTTCTAATTTCATCGATATACTTTTGAGACTAAACAATAACATAACGGATAACATTGATATTTATAATGCATTAATTATGAACTCATTATATTTAAAAATTTTATTGTAATTAATATACCTATGTATTAATAAAAAAATGTCCGTGATAAAATATCATGTTAATTTTACATTTAACATGCAATAATTTTAAATAATGATGTATAAAAATTTAATATAATGATAATAAAATTATGAAAATAATAATAATATCAAAAATTTAAATTAAGGCTTCGCATTTTTTTATTTTCATTTTATCTCTTTTCTCTATTTAAACAAAAATTCCCATTGATATGACAACTAACCCATATAAAAATTATTTTACAAAGAATTAATAATTCAGTTTAAATTAAAAGTACTATTTTTTAAAGTATTTATTAGTCTTTATGTTACACAACAATTTTATACACGGTCAATCCAGATTTCGATGTCTTGCATTAATAATAAGTTCAGTCTGATATTGGAATAAAAATATTCATCATTCAACCAAGATGGCGCCTTGAATAAATGAAAATTAGACATTCGTAATAATTCGTATAAACATGCGTAACTAACGCGGGTATAAAAAAAGAGAAAAAATATCCGAATTCTGATTTTTGACAACATTATTCAATTTAATAAAATAACAATCCGATATATATAACTTGTTTGCAGGAAATAGAAAAACTTCAAGTGCCTTGATAAAATATATGACTTTATTTTATGATTTGATAATATTAGTATTTTATAATTTTTGTTTCAATCAATTAATCATTATTATAGAAGTATAGAATTAAATCATTTTATTGATATAAGAAATGAAAACATTTTATAATATTAAATCTAAGCCAATACAATCATTTATATTATTTAAACAATTGTATATAAAAAATGATTTTATTATTTTTAATATAAAAATAATATAAAAATATATTAAAATATTAACATATTTTAATATAAAATGTTATTTTTCTATAAAAAATATAGAAAAAATTATTCATTTAATTTATTTACTGACACTATGTTGAAAATACGTCAAATTGTATTTATTACAAAATAAATATAAAATACAATAAATATTACATTGTAAAATAAAATTTTACAAATAGAATTATATTGATTAATTATACTTTAAATCTAAATAATTTAAATTTATATAAGTGAAAAAAATATATTTTATTACGATGCGATCAGTTGTATATTTGAATGGTATGCAAAGCAAGTTAGTTATTGAATGCAGGATTCAGTCCAAGTACTTATGAATTTAAATCTGATCGCATAGTGTATAAAAGATTGAATTAAGCATAACTAAACATATTTTACGGACTGCGTAAAGGGAATATGCGAAGGCTACAATTTTGAAGAAAGTATATATATGCACAAAATAATATTGTGAATGATTTAAATAATACAGAAAAATAATATTATTCGTCGGAGCTTGAAATAATAAGAAATAATTGTTTATTTGTTTTATAAATATTTA